ACTTCCCAGATATTTAAACTTCCGTGTCTGCTTGATACTAGTATTTCCCGACCTGCAAATTGCATTTCAGGCTCATCCTTTTACTGATGAGCATGCATTCTGTTTTCTTGTAGTTTATGCTTAGTCCCTTTTTCACACTGTCCATCACTACCTTCTGTAAGAGATTTTGTAGTTTCTTTTCCATGTCTGCTATCAGTACTGTGTCATCTGCGTATGTTAAGATTGTGGTTGCCAATGCTAAATCCCGGTAGGGTTTCCAATTCTCTCAGAATTGCCTTGCTGTATAGGTTGAACAGGTCGGGTGAGAAGATGCATGCCCCTTTCTATTTTTGTATATTCACTGAACTCGTTCTCCATGTGCATGCACGCTGTTTGCTGGCAGTATAGGTTCTTGATTATTCTAATATCTTTCCCAAATATATCAAGGTTGCTGATCAGTTCCAGCAGATCCTTGTGGCATACTTTGTCAAAGTCCTTTGCATAGTCAATGAAACATAGATACACATCCTTCTGCATTTGTATCACTCTTTCTGATAACATTCCAAGTATGAATATCATGTTCCTTGTTTCAGTATCTTTAATGAACCCGCACTGTTCTCGTCCTATCTCTGACTTGATTCTGCTGCACGCTCTGTTCATCAGAATACGGATGATGAGTTTTGTCACATAGCTCATTAGGCTTATTGTTCAGTGGAGTTCACATTTGTTGGCACCTGGTGTTTTAGGCATTGCTATGAAGATAGATCTGCTGATGTCTTCCGGTATATCCCTGCTGTTGTAGATTTCATTTGTTATTTCAGTCATTTTGTCTATGCCAAAGTCATCTAAGGCTGTCAGTATTTCTGTTGCAATTCCATCTGGCCCAGCTGCCTTGTTTCTGTTCAATTTGGCCAGTGCTGCTTTTTCTTCAGTTTTCAGAATTCCAGATGCGTTGATAATTCTGTATATTGCTGGTTGTCTCTTTCGTCATGGAAGAGTTCTCCAATATACTCACTCCAGCATTGAAGAATTTTTTCCTTCTCTAATATGAGTATTCCATGCTTTGATTTTAAGCAGCCTGTTGGCAAGCATGTCTTCTAATCTGTTAGTTGCTTTATTTGATTGTGCATAACTCTTTTGTTGGTAGTATTCAATCTTTCTATTTCTTTACATTTTTCGTTTAGCCACCCTTCTTTAGTTTGCCTGCATTTGGTCCTTATTTCATTGTGTAAATTTCTGTACTCCGTTCTGAATCTTTGCAGAGTTTTCTTTCTTCTTTCCATCAAGTCAAGAATCTTGTCAGTTATCCATTCATTTTTTTCTTCTTCATCTTTTCTCCTTCTTCAATGATATCATTTGCTGACCTCACTAAAGTGTTTCTTAGTGCATCCCATTTCAAGTTTCCACTGTGTGCTTCATATCTTCTTTTCACATTGTCCATATATTTTTCTTTTAGGTTAGGGTTGCTCAGGAGTTTGTTGTATTGCAGTTTGGGTACTGAGTTAGGTTTCATTCTTAGTTTGCATATAAGAGAGCAATGATCACTTCTGCTGTCAGCAGTTAGGTTTTGCAGTGAATAACTGTTCCTGAATCTTTTGTTGATGGTTATATAATCAATTTGGTTTTCAGTTTCTCCTCCTAGGCTCCTCCATGTCCATAGTCGTTTTGGATTAAATATCTATTATTCTTAGTTTTTTATTTTGAAATTCATCAATACAAACATATTTTTATGTCTGAGTTTTCCTACTTATTGATATTTTTATTGATTATTCTTAATTTTTTAAAAATTTGGCAGTAGCATTTTCAATGTTTTTAAAAAAACTTGCAAGATGTTTGGAAGTGGCTACAATTTTTTATGACAACTAAGTGTGAAAGAAATGAAAGTTAACACTATCAATAACTCTTTATCAATATTCGCCAAAACAGATAAAAAAAAATGAATTAAACTCAAAAGTATCATTTCACTAGCTTTTAATTTCTTCTTTTATATATTTATAAATTTAGGTACCTTAAAAAAAAAAAAAAGAAGCAATTCCTATAGATTAAAATTAATATTTCCAATATTTTGCTGTATTTCAAAACTAATTTAAATTGACTAAAAGCATTTTCTTTTTAAATCCCTAAAAATCAGTAATTTTAGCTATATTTACAATGCTCTCAACACAACATAATTATCTTTACTAAAAAAAATCTTTAAAAAATAAAATACACTTTTCTAAAACTTTATTTGAGGAAGATTAGCTGATTTAAATTTTAATCAATCTGATTTAAAAAAATATTACTCATTTTTAGTTTAAAATATCATAGAAAAGCATTTTTAACACAGACGTAGGTGTTTTTGAGGTGTTGACGGCCTGATATTTGGCAAATTTAACTAATTTTTTTCTATAGAGGACATATCCATAAAAATTACTTGATGAATATGATGTGAGCACCTTTCTTATATAATTTTTTAATTACCCAGTAATCTTAAAAATGTTTAAAAATATACGCCGTAATCTGTTTTATTAAATTTTAGGTACTTTGGTTATAAATTTACTATATTTGCCACTCTTATCTTCTGATAATGTTGTGTATGGACATCCATATTTGCAAAATTCAGCAATTTAAAATGAGTGGGGTCGGGGGCTGAATTGTAAGCTTCCTATTTATGATTAGTAATTATAGTTTTTACTTAATGACAATATCACCTAATGGGTACAAATTAATACAGAATTTAAAAAGATTTAAAACTTTATAAATTATTCTATTTAATTTTTTAAAAATGAAAACAATTCTTGCAAAAATTAATTATCAAAAAAACTTTTTCAAGAAAACAGTATCCATGATAGATTTTATTCATAAAAGTAATTGAATAATGTCTGAGTTTTATTCCATTTTTTATTTTTTGATTCATAGCAGATTTTTGCTAACTGGGAGACCTGTTTTAGGAAAAAAAATTTGATGATTTAAATTTTGCAAAGACTTCTGCTTATAACAAATATAAACATTAAGACCTACAAAAGTGAATTTCCTGAAATTTCATAAAATTAAATAAGGATGATTAGCCCTTAAATTGGATTTACTTGTTGATTTTCTGCCACTGATCTTGTTGACAGTTTTCCAAGCAAGAGCGGATTGATTGTTAGTAGCAGCAGAAGTAACAAAATTATTATAGGTTGTATTAGGAGATGGTTTCTCAGCATCTGCTTGTAGTGTTTCAAACTTATTCCTAACAGCAATGGTATACTGGTCTTTGAGATGATTGTTTGTTATTAGAAGAAACCAGTTATATGGTATATATTATTGTCTCTAAGGTTAAGTTGGATGGTGGAAGAGACAATCCGATGGTAAAAATACTCCTTCAAATGTATTGAAGGCATGGCAATTCAATTCACTGTTCTTTTCACTTTTGCTTATCAGGATGTGATCCAATTGGGTTTTTGTGCCATTGGCAAATTTGAGTGCACATTTAGAGCTCTTTTCAAATTTGGTGGTTAGGCATATACAAGATTATTTTCCTGTATAAAGTCTTCAAGAAAAATCCCATTTCTGTTGGAGAACACATGGTATGCAAATTTGTGTACGTCACTGATACCAACCTGATATTATATGTCCCTACCAATAATCAGGAAGTTATGGTTTGGGACTAGTCTGAGAAGAGAAGGCATTGAAAGAAATGTCATACTTTCTTCATCAATAGAGTTTGTTGCTGAATAGCAAGAGATGATGGTCATTATAGGATTGCCGTTGAAGACACTTTATGGGCTAGTGGACTGAGTAACATGCCAACACCACCAGTGGTAGTACCTGTGGAACTTTTCCAAGCTAAGGCTGAGATGAAGACCCAGCCTTTCCCAACACAGTGATGCTTGAGCTTGACATCAGGATGAAAAATAGCAATGTTCAGAGATGATTTCAGGCAGCCGATTTGTGTGGTTAAGTGTACAAACATTGAAATTAATGTAGATTTTTTGCATGAAAGAAGTTTTGTTTGGTTAACCCCATAGCCGATTTCTCAAACACTCTCTCGAGGCAACAGTAGAACAAGCCCTTTGTAACCCGTACGACAGGTGCGTGATATGGATTGGGTTTCTTGTCACGATACTCATGTTTGTCTTTCAGTGGCTTAGTACTTATCTACAGTTCACTATTCCTATAGAGAGTAACAGTGTCACCACGTGAAAAAGTTTCTAAAGTATTTGATAAACACTTCCTGATATTTATTTTATTTTCTTCTTCTAGCTTTGTATGGTGTCTGGTCTGATGTGATAAATTAGGACAATAGTCCGAATAATAGTCTTCTTGGAGTTTAAAAATTAACTTGGAAGTACGCTTACCATTACTTTGAGACTCGAATCAGGACAGTTTTTATGTTTACTTTTTCTTGCATAAAGTTTTTTCATGACGAAATCTTTTTTTTTTTTTTTTATATATAGCAGCTGGTATAGGAAAATTAAAAACATTGTGATCCCTGGAACAGCCCTGTCAAACCGGGATGAATTGTCAGCTTAGCTTTAAGACATGCGACGAATTAATGACGTTATTATTTGAATGAGATGACTTTAGTTTTAACTAGAATCTAGTTAGAGTAAACACAATATCAGAATTGAAAAACATAAAAATGCATTAATTCAATTTTTATATATAATTTTAAAATCAATAGAAAATTTAATACGCCAATGTTTAAAAAAAAAAAAAAAATCAGACTTACCAAGAGGCGTAACTTTTATTTCTGTCATTATTCAAGAAAAATATTTAAACTTATTTTCTCTTTACTTCAAAAATTAATTTCTTGTCGTCATGTGTTTACCGGCCGCAGCCATTTGTAATCTGAATTTACTTCCTGTAAGTCGGCACTAATCAAATTGTTAGGAAAAAATATAAAAATGAAACACGCATTTCTTTTAAAAACAAAATATTTTATTAATTATTTTAAAAATTTAAAAGTCATTACCTGAAAGTTTAATGTAATTTTAACAGTTGTAATTTTCTGTCTTCTTTCGCTATTCATTTTCCAGTTACATTTTGTTGGTGTCAACATGGCTACAAGTGAATTCGATTTGAAATATCTGGCCGACTCTTTGGAGAAATGTAAACAAGAAGATGGTACAGTATCGATGGATGACTACCTTGATGCCTATGATCAGATATCCAAGTAGGTATTTATCTTAAATTTAATTATTGACAGCATTTAAAAAAAATTCTATAATATTAAAAAACAAACGGGCGTATCCTCACGAATTATTACTTTTATTTCTAAAACAATTTTTTTTTAAAGCGGAAAAAATTATTTAATTTATTATGTTGTGGTATGTTATTTTTTACTTCTTTTTAAAGAAGTAAAAAAAATTTAAGAGAAAAACATGAATTTTAAACTTAGAATGAAATTGCCGACCCGGCTAATTGGCAGTCTCGCGTCAATGAAGAAACAATTTCTGATTATGAAAAAAATAAAATAAGGAAACATTATTTATTTTGACGAAAAAAAGTGTTATTTTCATAATTAATCACGTATCATATGCATTTTTTAAAATTGTCTCAACTTACTTGAAAAGTGCTTTTTTTTTTTTTTTCTTTTTACCTGAGCTGTAAAAAAAAACATTTTGGTTTATGATTTGTCAAATGTCAGTTCTTATGCAAGAAGCGACAAAAAAAAGACAATTATTAATGGAATGTTATCACGAAAAACCTGAAAATGTAAAGAATCTACGAATAAATCTACAAATGTATAGTTTTACTTGACAGAATTGTTTCTTTTAAAAGTAGGTTTGCAAGGATTCTCTTTTAAGTTTTTTTTTGACTGTTATTTTTTATAGCTAAGAAAAGTAAAAAAAAGAAATGTGTTTTAAGTTTTATTATTAATTTTCTTTGGTCTAACCTACATTATAATTTTTTCTTTTTTTGTAAATAAATAATAAATTTTAATGTTTTTCATGCAAAATATTATTTTCAAAAATAAAGTTATTCATAAAGAAAGTGAACAACTATCCAAAATTTTGAAATTAGACAATTAGATGATTTTTGGTAGATTTTTAAAATTTGAATGTTTTCTATTTAATTTAAACAATAGACATGTTGCTAAAAAAAAAAAAAAAAAAACTGTACACTGTAGTTTCTGTTTTTACAGGGATAAAGTTTATGGTGAATTTTGGCGGCTAGACACTGAAAATTGTTAAAATTTAACATCAAGTAACTTAAAGTTAACGTTCTTTTTATTTTTTTTATTTTTTGTGTCTGTGTGTTTAGTTTTTTTTTTTTTTTTTTTTTTTTAAACCATTTAAAATTATAAATGTTATGTTTTTTTTAATTTGCTTTAAGCCCCGTGCTAAATATCTAATAAAAATTTCTGGAATTGTTATAGGTGTAAATTTACAATACATGCTTTCAATATTTATTTTTATCCATGAATGTAGGAAGTGAAACATTCTCGGTACATAACTCCACGCATTGTTTATAAAAATAAATAGTGACGAAAAAGACCCGAAAACTTGTATAAAAACATTTTATCTACATAATCTTTATTCTTTACGCTCAATTTATTAGAAGAAAGATTGGAAATTTTGATAAATTATGTTCACTGACTAGAACTGGTGATTTTTGAGTTTGAAACCTTGTTTACACGTGTGTATGTGTGTTTTTAAAAAGAAAAACTAATTTACTAATATTTGCAAGAGAAAATCTTTTTAGGCGATAAACACTCAAATTTTAAAAATCATCTGATTTCAGCAAAATTTTGGATACTTGTTCATTTATTTACAAATAACAAATTTATTTTTGAAAAGAATATTTTTTTTGTAAGAGTAACTTGAGAAAACAATTTTGTTAATTCAATTCAAACCCCTTCTATTATTTCTTTTTTTTATGAAATCACAACAAACATCTTAAAATTAAAACTTGAAACAAAATAAGTTGCAATGCAATGTGTTTTTTTTTTTTTTTTAATTATTTTTAAAGTCTTGTGGGTATCAAAACAAAAGGCTTTTTTTTCTGATACTAAACTATTCAAAGTGGGCAACGAAAGAGTCAAGACAAAAGTATTGACAGAAAAATAAAATACATCCCAATCTCTGGCCCCCAAATATGGAATAAAGTACACAATAATAATAATAATAATAATAATAGCAAAATAGAAGGTGAATTATGACGAAAAGCAGGGTAGGTAATTTGAAGATGAGAAAGCAATGTAGCATGAAGAAGGTACAAACTACACCAAGAAAAAGAATATTATGAATCTAGGTACTGCCACGGACATTAAAAAAATTAATTAAATCCTAAAAAATACATTTTCTTCATGCCTTTGAATTTAAATTTCAGTTCTATAATTTGAAAGATAACGGTCTAAGTATCCGAATTAAAAGAAAATTTAATTTCCATATATAAATAAACTTTTTAGTTTTTAGACATTTTATTTTTTAAACCATTTTTTTTTGTGTTCGTCACTGCTCGATCCTTGATTGTATACGAAAAAATGTAAACAACAAATTGAAAATTCTCTGTAAAATCTGATATTTGTTCTACAAAGTTTATTAGTAAATTTAGGGATTAATTAGTTGGATTTTCTAAAAGTAATGCTTAACCTTTTAACTAAAAACAAAACGTTTATTTATGCACGCTAGCCTGTGACGTCAAAAGACAAGGTAAACACGTTACCCCTCTCCAAAAATGGGGGAAAAGTAAAAAATAAAAATAAAAAAAGCTGAAGAAGTACATAAGACCAACAGTACAATAACCAAAAATTTAATTATGTTTAAAATTAAATTTTCGTTAACCATGTATATAATTTTTTTTTTATTCTATACGCTTTGTTTTAAAACTTAGTTTAAAATGTATAATTTTAGTACTGATTGAATGGGAGATCTGAAATTAATATCATATTCCTCTGGTATTGAATAGTAGTCAGTCAACGTGATATTAATTTCCTTTTTGTACATCCAGACCAAAAATAATCTGTTGCTAAAAGGAAAAAATAAAATAAAGTTATTTTAAAAAAAGGTTCTCACTTGAAAATGACATTAAGCTTTACAATTTTAAATCTTCAAACATGTCTAAGATAAACTGATTAATTTCAAAATTACAAGTAATTTTTTTTTTTTAAATATTAAGTTTAGATTTTTTTCTGTTGAATTTGAAACAAAATGTTTTATTTTACAAGCACCAGTTATCAAAAAACATTTTTTGAGTTTTATTGAACTGTTTTTGGCATGATGCAGCCTGAATTTACTGTATGTTCATACTATATTGCATTACCAAAACCTTCACTGATTTCTTTTTAAAAATATGAAATATACCCCCACCCCCCAATATTTCCCTAAGGTTTTTCTTAATAAAATAACCTATTCAGTAAAGTATTCATTCATTAATGAATGTCCTAAAAATTTTGTTTGAATCAGATAATCTCTTGATTTTTGGCAAATATTTTAACAGAGTATCAATTTTTTGCTTTAATTACAGGAAAAAAAGTATCCATAGTTGTACCTAATAAATACATGCACAACAGATTTGAGAAGGAACTGAAAAAATGTTGGGTTCTTGACGGCTAGAATAAAAATACTGCTGGAATTTCTGGGAAATTATTAAACTATTGTCCTCATCTATCTGTAAATAGTGTAAATAATGCTAGAAACTAGTTTGTAGCAAAATTGTGTCCTAAAGATATCGGCTAAGAAAAAAATTTTTTTTTTTTTTTTTTGTGTGAATGAACGTACCTAGACTGTAAAATGCAGAAATAAAACATACTTATGTTGAATATTATTCTTTTTTTCACCTTTCAATGCCCGTAATTTGCCATGTTTTATGTTATAGTACCCAAGCTCCTGATTTTTATGAGAATTTCTCATTTGTCTAATTTGGGAGAAAATGAAAACTGACTTTTATATGAAAAATATTAATTTGATTCTTTGAAGGTCACAGAATAGAGAAGGTTAGTTTAATTTTATCATTTAAAATATTAAAAAAAAATCTTACTGCTTTCTGCATGACTTTTGCTAGTCAGCTATAGAAGAAACAACCTTGTTATAAATAGCATTAAAACAGATATTGATTCTCTAATAAAAATAATTGTGCTGAAGAAAGCATTCACATAAACTTTGTATGAAATGATTGCATTATTTCATTTTCTAAATAACCATTAAGCTCATAAAAATAAGATTAAAGTGGACAGAAGAAATTTGAAAGAGATTAAAATTACTTAATTACTTATTAATTCATAATTTGCCTTACAGGTATGTGTTGGAAGAACTGGTGATTTCATTTTGCTTCAAAATTCTTCTTGCTAGTAGCAAGTAATATAAAGAAGTAATTTGAAACTTTCTCTGCTTTAATACAATTAAAGAAAGTTATACATACACATTAATTAGACATGTCTCTCCTTTGACATAAATAACATATAACAAGGACAGATTTCCAATTGTGAATTATTTACTTCTCTGATTTGTTTAACAATCTTTGACTTCTACATTTTTAAAGCTCAGATGTTTGTATTCACCTTATAATGAATAATTAATTCTGCTGTGCGTGAAATTAAGCTATTAACACATTCTACAGACTAATTAACTTTTTGTGTGAAATTCTTTCAGAGTAAAATGTCTAGTTCCACAGGTCAGAAGACAAATGTACATCTCAGCCACTGAAGATGGTGCAACAGCAAATGAGTTATCATTAGTCCACATATAAATAATGTAAATATTGTCCTCATCTTTATTGTTATTAGCACAAAATTTTGGCTGTTGTACTCTCCAACTTCCATCAGGTGCTTGTCAATCTAGGTAACCTTCAAGGAATTTTGAACTGAACCCTTTATTTAATGTACATGGGTCAATTGTTCTCATTCTGTTTAACACGTCTAGGGATATCATGTCTAGTTCCTATTTATTATTGCTTACCCAATTTCTACTGAGTCAGTCTGCACTGCTCAGTCCAGGGATTGAACTCGCAATTAATTGCTTTAATCTACTCAGCTGTTGAACTTGGAATCTTAAACCTAATCTGCCTGCTAATGAAACTACTGCTTGTCATGCTTGACTGAATTCACCAGGATTCTCTTCTACTGCTGCAACCTTGCTGTCATCTCTCTTTCTTCCTTTGTTAATGGCTATCACATTGTATTTATTTCTATGCTATACCTACTAAGGAGTCCCCCATAGGATATGTGCTGATTTGTTGTTCTCTGTCTAATATTTTTCATTCCATATAGGTTAATGACTCTGCTTTTCCCTTCATACATGATCAACCATGCCTGACTTCATTATTTCACCCTTGATTACAGCTTCTTGATATTCTTCCAACCCTACTTTTAGAGACAGCTGGTTTCACTTTTATATCCTTTGCCACACAACTGCAAGGGTTAGAATCCACACAGCACAGTTCTTGGTTATGTTTTCCTCTGCAGATATTTCTCTGTGGTATTAAACTGCTTCCAAATATTGTCTGATGTTGCATAACTCACAGATATTCTGAATATTTTTGTGCATTGTTGCAGGCATCAAATGATCCCTAGGCATGATCACTGGAACAAGAACACTCTACTCTACTCCCATAGGTTAGATAATGGTTTCAGTTCAAAATTTCCTAAAGCTTACTCAGATCAACAAGCATCTGATGACAGCAAGAGAGCACAATGGCCAAAATGTTGTAATGATAACAACAAAGGTTAGCGCAATAGTCTGCATATAAGTAACATAAATTAAATCTTCTGTATTTCACAAGTAAATTCAAACTATTTATAGGACTAAAGTTTATAACTGATATATAAGTTTGTTTGTAAAATTATAACATTTAAGCTTTATATTTGGAAGTCAGTTCTCTACCTCTATATAAAATCTTTTCCTCAAGGTGATTATGCTCAGTAAACCTAAAGAAACTGATTTTATCTCCTCGCTCTCCCACACACATATTTTGATATTTTTTTAAAGTTGACTTCTACATCAAAATATAGTTGGATCATGGGTTTGTTTGGAAAACAAATGAAATTCAAGAATATAAGAAACATTAAAATATGCACATTTCTTTTTAGAGATTTTAGAAGGAAAATGATTTCTATTTTCGGCTCTATGGAAGGAAGAACAGCAAAGTAAAATTTTACAATGTATGTTTGTTGTTTATAATAAATGTTTAATTTGCATTACTGGGAATTGGCAACTCTAATCCTTCATAGTGCAAAATCTCCTCATGACATCTTACTGGCGTAAGTCACTAGAATCCCCATTAGTTGCTTTCTAAGAGATTATGTATAGATTAACATGTGTATTTAGACAAGAAGTTTTTTTCATGCACATTTCCTTAAATATTTTAGACATTGATAAACCAGACATTTTAAGGAATGCAATTTTGGTATATTTGAATGATTTTTGAAAGATTTTAATTTGGTTTGTGAACTATTACACCAAATTTCTATGGAGGGGTTATAGGAAGTAGTGTCATGTCTTTGTTACTAGAAATTTATAGCAAAGTATACTTATCCCCAGATCCTTTTGGTTTCTTGTTATGCGTTCTGTATCCTTTTTTTTTGATTTGATTTTATCATTTGTTTCTTGTAGATTCCTGCAACTACTTGGATCCATCTTCACTTTTGTTGTGTCTGATGTAAATGAAAAGATTCAAATTTTACGAGATTACCGTATGGGGCCTGATGCAGACCAGTATGTCACCATTGATAAGATGATGGGACATGAGATTCAGCACCAGTTAACAAAAAAGAATAAACCATCTGGCTCAAGGACTTTGCTGCGTTTACACCGGGCATTTGAATTTGTCATGGACTTTATTCGGGAAATGAGATTTGCCAATGATGATGCAAGAATGTCTGAACTAACAAAAACTTGTTACGACAGAACCCTTGCCAAGTTTCACCCTTGGCTTGTCCGACAAGGTGTCTATCTTGCTGCCTACACATTGCCTAGAATTTCACAGTTTAACGTTAAAATGAAAAGTAAAGAAGATGCCAATTCCCACATGGACAGAGTGCTTCTGTTTTCCAAACCAGTATATGATACAGTGCAGGATCTTTACATCACAAACCAACTTGATAACTTGCCTTAATTAATACGCCTGAAACACTATTGAATATTGTTTCATTTACCAAAACATGGATCATTGTTAGTTTTTTGCCAAGTAAGGATGAATCCAGAAATTTATAAGAAAATCCATTGCTGACATATTCCAGTATACTTGGAGCATTCTGATAAAAAAAAAAGCTGAACTTACAGAAAATTCAATTATGGTTAATTAATATAACATGTTTGAGTTTTCTATTGGTGCATTTAATTCAGCATTTTTCAAAGATCCTAAGATTCTGGAACATGTCAAGCAATTTTTAAGTTGTTTATTTAAAATATTAAAAAAGTATTCATTCTTATTGGCTGGTGTGAGTGGATTGGACAAATGAGAACAGTTGTAATTATATCTTTATTGTTAAAGATTAAATTAAGTTTAAAATCAATGAAGCAAGACATGCTTTATATTCAAAAGGAAATTGGGAAGCTACCGACAGTGATTGGGCTCAACTGGGAAGGTGGTGGGGGATATAATCTAACAGTGCAGCAAGGGAAGCAACTCTTAGCTACCTATTCTTGAACAAATGAACAATGCTAATTGATCTATGTGCCAGACAACAGCTCCCATAACAATGATTGATTTCAATCGTGATCTGACACTCTGTTTCCAGCCTTTATTTACAAAAACAAATTACTTATTTATATTTACTCCAATTGAATTTACAGTCATTGGTTGTATTTCTAACATGTCTACAACATAATTTTTTATTTATTTTTGTTTTTTTTTTTTTTTTTTTTTTTTTAGAAAATTTATTTATATTCTTTAAATGAAATATTTTTGAGCCTGCACATTTTGCTTTCTTTATTTTTAGTTTTATGTCCAAAATATTTTCTGTTTTGAAATTACTTTTTTCTTACAGTAATTGATTTTCACTGTTTTTAATTTTTACATAAAACAATGGTCTTGCCCTTATTTGATAAAAAAAAATGTTCAGTCATTTTTATATAAGCAAATTCTTAATGTTAAATTAAAAATGTCACCAGAGAGATCATTATTGATTAGTTTAAAAAAATACTTTGACATATTTCTAGTTTCTCTAACAAACTGTTTATTGGCATCCTTTTTTTTCTGAGAAGTTCCAAAGAAATTAATATAATCATTACTTTTTTTTTTTCTCTCTCTCTTTGACTTCATTCCCAAGAATTAACAATAATTTAATAGGAGTTTTGTGGCCTAGAATTAAGATGTTAAACCTTGCAGTTCTTAGCTGTCATTTACCAAGTGTTTTGTTAATTAACATAAAAAAGATGCTCGTCTAAAAGACCTTTATTTACTACCCGACATGAAAATGTTTAGGTCAAGAATGCTCACTTCATTTTAAATGACACCAGAAACCCAATAAACGAATAGTCGATCATCTTTTAAATTAAAATATGTCAACACTTGAACTATAAAATAGAGGAAAACCTATTCTAAATGTAATACTTTTGCTCTTGAGTAGAAATTTCATTTTTGTTTTCATGTCTTCAGGTTCTCTGGAATTTTAAATACAAGAAAATACAGAAAGAAAACTTGCATTCATTGTTATAATAGAATTTGTATTTATAACAATGGGTTTATAAAAAAAAGTTACAATGTAATTTGGTATCTCTTAAGCTAAAAAGATTTTTAAAAAGTACATGTGTTTGTGCACTAAGTTACTTCAACTTTTAATCAGTGTTAATTTTGGTTCAACAACACTTATGAAAAGAAGACAATTTCCTTTAAGAAAAATAAAACAATTATTCTTAATTACAAAAACTTTAGTTGTAACTTTGGCCAATTTGAAGACCTAAATATGAAGAGTAAAATGTACTGCTGCTTTCTAGATCTATTTTCATTAAGTAAAAATTCATGCATTACCTCAGATCCTAAAAGGTGACTTTTTACCAGTTTGTGAAAGATCATAGCTCTACTCAAGTAAAAATCCATGAATTGTAAAACATTTTCTTCAATACTGACCAATAGTTTTGATTATTTTTCAGTTGATAAGAATGAAGAAGTGTTAGAAAGGATCTTGAGAAATGAGGATGGATGATGAAAACCTACAAAATAGAATTAACTGAAAGTGGTACTAATCATTATTGTTGAGCTGCTTACCTTGACTTTCTTTGATCAGGTGGGGGTAAGAAAATAAACAAAAATGGAATTATCACAATCAGTCATGAACAGATTAAGTAGCATTTTTTTAAACATTATTTAATACTATCTCTGTCCAATAATAGTTATAGCATTTGCATATACTAATTGTAACAAGTATTATGGAACAAAGATAATATTTGGATTTCCTACAGAATCCAATGTGTAATGATATTTCCTAAACCTTCCAGAGATCTTGATTGATGTTGACATTTGTCTTACTTTTGGAAAAGATAAAAACTTATAATTTTTAGCTTTTGATTTTTTTTTTTTCTTCATAAATATGTTACTATGAAAGGAGAAGGTCAGTAGGCATGGCCAATCTGATATTTCCTCATTTTGGTTCTTAGTTAAGAATGCTTGGAGAGTGAACACTATGAGGAAAATATTCTTATGCTTATTTTTATCAGCTTTAAGAACACAATAGAAAAATTAGTTTAAAATGTCAGTGAATCATGAGTTATATTAGAAAGAAATATGAAAACAGCTTCAAATTGTCTGCTAAACAAGTCAGTATTTCATTGTACAGATTATCCAGACCTTTATGTGTGAAATTTTAGCCTTCAAGAACAAAACTTACTGCTCAACACTGTTTTTTTTTTTTTTTCTTTTTCATTTGAATGCAAAGCATTAATATTGGCATAAAAGCTAGCATAGTTATTATTTTTGTAAGTTTTAGAATTGAAACTTGTCTTTTCAAGAAGCTACAACTGAAAACTTTTTTAAATTATAAGTCATATTGCGATGAAAACAATATTCCTTAATTAAAGACTGAAATATTTAAATAACATAAAATGAAATTTTTCATGATATTTAACAAAATTCCCACACCGGAAATTTTCCTAATCTAACCTGATATTATTTTATTTTTCCTTTGAACTTTGTTGTTGTTATTCTAAATGCATGCTTTCAAAGGGACTTCTATCCACACACATACCTTTTTATTTACTTTTCTATGACTGGAAGCAGAGTTGCCAATCATGAATTATTAAATACTTACAAATATTTAGGTTACACATTTTTTTTTTTTTTTTTTTTTTAAATGGCTATCCTTTTATTATACATTTATTATACATCATGTGTGCAGCTTTTTGATCATCATTTGGTTGACAGTTGCATATGAGATCATTTTATAATTTTCAGAGAATTTCAGTTTAAAAAAATTCAATAGCCAATAAGATGTTGAGCAAAATCTAGTAACCAACCAACAAAAAATAAAATGAAGGCAGATTAAAGATATTCTGAAGCAGCAATTATTTACAATTGGCCAATTTAAAAGTTTTTTTTTAATCATTCTCTCGGTTAAAAACCAAAGTTTCAGTTTACAAATGTCAAGAGACAAAGCTTTTTATCAAATGAAAATAATAATTTTAATAAATACTTTATAAGAAATGGCCACAAAAGTTGGCAGGACAATTCTGTATAATACTTTCCATTTTGATTTTAATTTTTGTTAAGACAAACAAGGTATCTGTTTTTAAAAAGAAAAAAAATGAAAATATTCATAAAATGCCCAAATTATGGCAAGCAATGTTGATGAATAATCACCCATAACTGGCCTTATGGCAATCTAAACTCAGTGAATACCTTATAATTAACTTAGACTCTTCTTTGTTAATCAAATATTGATATTCTATAAGTCTTGTTTTTATTTTAAGTTACCATCATCCTTTATCTCTTAAAAATGTCTGAAAAGATATATAATCATGGAACAAAAACAGATTAATTTACAGAAAGCAATCCACGATGATTCTCAAAATTCAAAATGCATTTCTATTTTACAGTCATTCAAACATTTATGAGTTATTATGAAGAAGAAATATTTCTCTACTGTTCATCACATGAAATTTTTTTTTTTCTCCAACAGAACAATGATGGCTTGATATAACAAAGTATCTTTGACCTTTTTTTTCTTTGCACTCATTTAACCAACCTTGAAAGGTTTACATTTAATAAAACTAGATGCCAATCAGAACCATTGGTGGCCATGCAGTAGTTTTATTCCTTTGTTACAAAACCATCTTGATTTAGTCATCAATATGTCAGTTCCAATTTCACACAAAAATTACATCCAAATTGCATTTCAAGTGATTTAAGGATGCTTTCCCATTGAACTATTTTAATTCTATCCCTAAATCCTTTACATTGTAAAAAAAAGCACATTTTACTTTTTTTTACATTTCCTGTATTTAGCATTCTAATTCTCATTCCAGTTTCATTCAAGAAATTAAGCTTTTTCCTAAATCATTAATATGTTTGTTTTTTTTTTTTGTTTTTTTTTTTTTTTTTTTTCTCCAGCAATAAATTGTATTTTAATGGCTGATAGATTTTTCAAAAATGGTGTTTTTAATTTATAAATTTTTTTCATTATGTGATGGAATTTGGCAAAAATATAAATTATTGAAATTTGCAATGTACCTAAGAAATTTTGGAACTTTCTTATAGTCTTGTAAGTTTATTAATTCAATATAAAAAAAAAAAAAAAACAACTATGTTCTTAAGTTGGTCTCACTAAATTAATGACCAAATCATTCCAATTTTTATTTATTCTTTCAATTTATGTTTATGAAACTAAAAATTTCTGTGGCTGGTGAGAAAGACAAAGAAAAGTTTTTTGTTGATTGATTCTATTGGTGGTTAATATCCCCACACACACACACACACAATCCAATTTGGTAGTCTTTCTTTATTAAGTCGTGTAGTTTTATTTCTTTCCACTTTCAAAAAGCTACTCCTTTGCTTGCAATTAACAGATTTAGAAACTCGTTTCTATTGTTCATGTTTTTTCTCTCTCATTCATCCATTCAATCAAACTTTCTCATGGTCCTTTACATCTGATTTCAAACGGCCTCCATTTCTAATTTACT